ATATGAAACAAATAAAATACATACAAAGCAGAACACAGCTAAATGTATCAAAAGTATGTCCATGTAATATTAGAATTTTCTGAGACAATGAATTTTGGCTTTTCATTTTTTTATTTAACAGAGTTTTTGGACCAAAAAAATCRCAATATATCGCCTTGCTTACAGTATCGCAATATACCGGGATATATCGTATCGTGACCCCTCTGTCATGATATGTATCGTATCGCCAAATTCTTGCCAATACACAGCCCTGCAACGTACAGTACTTGAAATTTACTGGTTTAGGATTTATTGTATTTTTGTACAATAATGATATTCTGCTGACTGATATTTTAGTGGTGATAAATATTAAATATATTGTACGAAAGACAATAATTAAGAGCTTAATGCAAATATTTTAAACTAATACTCAATTGCAGTAAAAAAAATTAGAAAAAACTTTTTAGTTTAGTTTTTATTTTTGATTTAATGACAGGACCTCTTATTAGTGCTGTCTGACCCTCAGTGGGGGTCCTGACCATTTTGGGAACCACTAATCTGAAGTATATTACCCAAATATTGTGGGGTTATTATCTCCTAATCAGATTAAACATAATAATAATTTGCTTCAAATCATATTTATTGTCTAATTAGTAAAATTTTAAAGAACTATTAAAGTTGGTTTAATTGTTTGTACAGAAGAGTTGTTTTTAAAAAAAATAATTTTACAGGTTGGTCCTGCAGCAGGATAAGTGCTTTTATTTTGAAGTGTAAAGTGTGTAATTTCCTGTGTSTGTCAGCTCGGTGCTCGGTTTGTTGGAGCAGCCTGATGTTTAGCTGCTGGTCGTGATTGTTGTTACCTCCTGACACCTGAGCTCCTTTATTCCACACAGACCTGTTTTAATGTCGTGTTCTTCCTGCAGTCAGCGTCTTTTTTCCCACGAGAGCCGCAAACATGGCGTCTGTGCGTGAGGTGTTCTTTTGTCCGTGTTAGCAAAATATCTCACCAACTACCTGACTTCATTAAAACTCTCAGTCACCAGAAGCACATCTGCACTGATCACATGACTTCATCACACAGAAAAAGGTATCCAACTCTGTCCGTTTTACAGACGTGAAGCTAAAATTAGGTGTGGTAGTAGCTAAGAGTTGTTCCCAGCACATAATCCAAGCACTAACTATTAAACTTTAACTCTTGGAAAGTGTGTCTGTTAGCAAAATATCTTATGAAGCACAGGACTGATTTTAATAAAACTTTCAGAAAATGCTCCTTGGACGTGTGTCAAAAACTGATTACATTTTAGAGTCGTCACCGTCTAAGTTAATCACTGTAGCCAGCTGTCAAACATAAAACTGGCTTTAACTCAGATTAATTCACAGAGATTGAGCTAACATTTAGTGTGGTAGTAACTGAGAGTTATCCTCAACATACGTATATTCAGAGTTCTAACAGATCTTGTGAATTCACACGTACCAAAATCACTGTTGTGGTTTAAAACTGGCGTGACAGCTTGAGGGCGATTCGACATTTAATCCTAATCTGTAAAGATGACATTTAGAGCTCAGCGAAATCCTGACTCCCACCAGCCATTTGCTCAGGAAGTGACAGACCTTAACTCTTCAGAGAGTTCATGGTTTTGAGACGAAGTTTTGTAACCTTGTGTTGACATGACACAGATCCAGAACACATCCTGTGCAGACTGGAGGCTCATTGTTACCTCTCTGGATTAAATCCTTCAGGTCAGACAGAAATCCTGCAGAAACTATCGTGACAAAGGTCCCCTGCACTGTGATACTTTAAAGGGACTCAGTCTGTTTTGACTTCACATTATCAAGCTTCTGTTCATGAAAGAGAACAAGGAGTGCAGACATCTCTCCACAGTAATGTCAGCAAATTCATGACGAACTCTGGCTCATTTATCAGGAAAAGCTGCAGTGATGGAAAAGATTAAAGAGTGTTATTTTAGCTCTTTTATCAGAATACAGAGACAAGCTTTACAGATGTGAGTTTGAAGCAGATGTAAGGACTTAAGGAGTGGTTTCTGTGAGAGCAGAAGTCAGAAAGACAATTCATGGATGTGAAAACTCACTTCCTGTTCAGTTTGACCACAGCTGCGTTGTCCAATCAGTGTGACTGTCGTACACAGCGTTCACACTACTGAGAACATAGTTTTCTTATGTACGTTTTCTGGCACCTTTCTCGTTCCACAATTTTTATGCTATTTCAACAATTCATATATCAAAACGTTCAGCTCATTCAGAATATTCCGACTATGACTTTAAGTATTTCTGCTATATATTAGGGCTGCCACGATTAATCAATTAATCGACGACTAATCGATTATTAAAATAATCGATGACTAATTTAATAATCGATTATTCGTTTTTTTTCTTTTTGTTCTTTACTTTGTTTTTCTCTCCAAACTGCTTTGACACCTTCCACTGCCACATCTGCCTTTCTGTCCTTGACACACATGCACAGTAGTGGTAACTGGGGTAGGCCGTGGACGTCACAAGACATTATACAGACAGGCTCTGGTATCATGGCTACCTGACAACAGAGCTCAAAGTGTGGGATCATTTTAAGAAAATGAAAGAGAAACCTGTGTAATATCTGCAGAGCAGAACTTACCTTCCACAGCAATTATTTTTAGTTAGCATATAGCTAAAATCTAACCATGGTTATATAATAGCAGCTGCATTCTGATGCGATAAGCTCTATGTTTTATATTCAATTAACGTATGATCTGATTAGTCGACTGATCGAATAAATAATCAGTGATTAATCGATTATTAAAATAATCGTTTGTGGCAGCCCTACTATATATACGTTTTTAGCTATTTCACTTTTTTAGCCACTTTTTTGCCTTTSAAAATGAATGGGGCCATTTTCAACCTCCTTAAAATTCTTCAAAATCTTTCAAAAAATCTTTACAGCAACTTACACAATTTGTTCTGCTTATGCTCTTTTGAAATTCCTTCTGCTAATTTTAGCTACTTCTTTGCTAACTTTAGCTTTTTTCTGATATTTCAGCTAGTTCTGCTTATTTTTGCTATTCTTCTGTTGTTGCTGTTAAATTTGTGCTTTTTTCTGCTAATTTGTACTATTTATGCTTCTTTCAGATGCTTTCTGTTATATTCAGCTATTTGATACAAATTTAAATAAATTTTAGCTGTTAGCTGTTATTAGCTGAAGTTAGCTTTTTAAGCTAAATGCAAATTTTTGTAGCTGTTAGAGCTCATTTCTGCTAAATTCAACAAAGTCGTGTTTCTTATGCTAATTGAAGAACTTCCAGTTACATTTTAGGTGTTTTACTGAAAACTTCGGCTGTTTTAGATATTTTACTATAAATGATCACTTTTTAGTAGTTTTATGGTTTTTTTTCTGTTATTTTGAGTTATTCATGTGTCTTACAGTTTAACTTACGATAATACTTTTGCTGTTGAACATTTTAAGCTCAATTTCAGCAGCTTTCAGCTAAAGTTTTCAGCAACAGGCATTCACACTAGCATTTTCACAGGAAATGCAACTTCTCTAGTTCTCATTTCCCTCTGAACAGAATCTGCAGTTTGTTCCAGAGTGAGTTTAGTGTGACCTAACTGATGCTTGTCTCCTGTCTTTGCTCAGAGTGAGTCACTGGTCGTCTGCGATGTGGATGAAGATCTGGTGAAAAAGCTGAAGGAGTTCCGTTTTCGAAAGGCAACCAACAATGCAGCCATCATTAGTGAGTCACTGTTTTCTGCTCTTACGTCTTTGTTTCGTTCATTCTGGGTCGACCTTTCAAACAGGGACATCCAGTCCAAGACTTTTACTTTTGTCCTCGTTACCAGTTTGAGTTATTTAAAATTTAAAAATCAGCTGATCCAAGAAAAGATCTGCAGCTGAAGCAGTCATGGTTGGAGAGAAGCATTAGCATTAGCTTAATGTGGGTTCCTAATGTCTGTTACTAGCTATGTTTACGTGGACAAAAGTAATCCGAATAAACGGCCAATCGAACAAAAAATGCGTCACGTAAACGCCCCAATCAGATTATTCAGATTTTATTCATCTCGATGGAATGAATTTGTCATCTGAATGAGTTTATGCCGATTGTTAATCTGACCAGCGTTCATGTAAGCACTTAATCTGATCATGTTATTCTGTAGGGATGTCCCGATAACACTTTTTCACTTCCGATACGATACCGATATTACAACTTAGAGAATTGTCCGATACCGATATTGACCAATACCGATATTGACCCGTTACCATAACAGTACAAGTCACACACTTTTACCTATTTTGTAATGTAAAATCTTAGAAAAGTCTTGATCAGGTCAAACAGTGAAAAAGAGTAGGTATGAGGAAAAACTGACCTATTTATTTTTAACCAATGGATCACATACATTTTAAACTGAAGAACATTATACAATTTAATAAAATAAATTAGAAGACCCTGAAAAATAAAATATAATAAAATTAAAATGTACTTTTAAAGTGTAAAATAACCAAAACTGTAACCAAAACAACGTGATCATTGCACTTAATCTTCACTCAAACAAGTGTGTAAACAGATTAAACATCACTCTAATAACAAGAGCAAAAAATAAATAGTAAGAATTAGTCAGTTAATTAAATTAGCTACCATTCTTACTGCTGGATTTCCACTTTCTATAGTCTGAGCATCATGTGGAGATCAGCCTCCCTCTCCTGCAG